ATAAGTCATAACATTCGTACAGCCTAGCCAAAACACATCCATGTGTCGAAGCTTTGCATGCACATTCATGACCCAAAATGAAAACTATCCACAAAATTTCATGAAGAAATAAACCGTTTAACCAGTTTGTCGAGCAGTCTGAAAATCAAGTGTGGGTCAAATTGACTCCAACACAGCAGGAGGGTTAAGACTGGCCCAATAATGTAAGAGACAGTTCCTTCAATTGACCCAAAGCTCTCTGATGATACGTACTGTTGAGGTCTGTTCTCTCTTATGTAAGTTTCTCTCGCTCACTGCATTGAAGCATCAGTAGAAAGTGAGAACGAGGGCTGGGATTGATCACCCCACCGTCATGCGGCACTCGCTAAATCCCTCCGCATGAGCCTCCCAGATAAAGCCCAGATTCACGCCCAGGAGAACTGGCCTGGATTTCATCATCTCACTGTGCATGCAATGTGTGTATCCGGGGGTGTGTGACCGAGCAGTGAGCTGTGCTGATAACTTCAAACTCTCTGCTGAAAAAGAAGAATTAGAAAGACAATCAAGGCCAATAAAGGAGTGGCTGTCCTCAAATCTGGAGGTGACTGAGTTCAGATCAGACACCTGCTGTCAAACTCCTGCTGCTGCGTGCTGACCGAGTCCAAGAGGAACACAAGATTACAATGAAATCATTGAGTTATATGAATAATCTGAGACCTGGCAGATGGCTCGACCTTGCAAAAGGACACGAATGGTGACTGGGTGCATTGAAATGCTGCAGGTTTGCTGTTGAAAAAGTTTGGCTTTGGAGACAATTTAGGTGTTTCAAAAGAGTGGAAACAAAGGTGTCAGTGTGTACTTTGATCTCTAATACCACCCTGCATCATATTTCCTGAATGAAATCCAATAATGAATTAAATCGTTATCATTTTGGGGTGCTGATTCCAAAAATAGTGTCTGTTTTGCTCAAGCATGTTACACTTTCTCAGTAAATGTGATGCATTTTGTAGCATTTTTGCTCTCGACAACCATTTGTATGGTGAAGAAGTCTTGTATTATCCCTTAATCAGCAGAAAAACTGCCACAAACACATGATTCCTGTCTGAATCTGAGTCAGATTACAACTATTTGTTCAATTCTCAGTCAATTTATGATTTTGTATGATTGATTCTGATTCATTGATTTATTATGCATAATCCACTTTTTCCACTCCTTTGCAGATTGTAAGTTAAATGAGTAGGCTACTTCTTTTTTTGACATTTTACTGTTTTTGTTATTTTGATAAGTGCATTCAACCTGATTAATATCCATGATTGATTATTCATTGTTATTTTGTGAAAAAACTGTAAATGATGGAAAGTTTTCATTGCTCTTTTTGAACTCAGCATCATCAAATTAGGTAATAATAGGCCTTTTCTGCAAATCAGCATGTTTGTTAAGCGTCTGCTAAATGCTTACTTGATTATTTGCTAGTATTTTGGTGTGTGCAGTCTTTCTGTCTACAAAATATACTAACCAAATACTACTAACACAGCACAACCAAGTTCAAAACTGTGTATTAATGATATTTATACATACTATAGGCTACAACCGATGTACCTTCTCTTGAAGTTACACTTTTTTTTTTTGCTTCTGATTTGCATAAAGCTGAGCATTTCTCTTTTTGACGCTCACAACACCTCCTCCACTGTCAATCCCACACTTAATAATCAATATTATTGAACTGGACCAAGAGTGACAGTCAACATACACTGTTGTTTAAAGGTTTAGGGTCAGTAGATTTTTTTTAAAGAAATTCATACTTTTATTAGCGTATAAAGCGTTATTATATTAGCGTTAAACTGATCAAAAGTGACAGTAAAGATAATATTACAAATGATTTATATTTTAAATAAATTCTGTTCTTTTGAACATACTATTTCACCACAAAAAGTTTCCACAAAAATATTAAGCAGGACAGCTGTTTTCATCATTGATAATAATCAGAAATGTTTCTTGAGCAGCAAATCAGCATATTAGAATGATTTCTGAAGGATCATGTGACACTGAAGACTGGAGTAATGATGCTAAAAATTCAGCTTTGACCTCAGGAATAAATGACATTTTACAATATATTACAATAGAAACCAGCTATTTTAAATTGTAATAATATTTCACAATATTACGTTTTTTTTTTTTATCAAATAAATGCAGCCAAGGTGAGCATGAGACTACTTTCAAAAACATTTAAAGGTGGGGTAAGCGATTTTTCAAAAACGCTTTAGAAAACTGATTCGGGTCCAATAGCAAAACAAACTTGCAGCCAATCAGCAGTAAGGAGAGTGTCACGAATCCGGTCCATGAACTTCCGTCTGCTCGCCACCAGAGGTCACTCTTCCACTACTATGGACTCTTGCACCACACCACTGTTGCACTTCACCCGGACTACAGTTCCCATCATCCACTGCACTGATTACACACACACAGTTGATTGCACACAGCTGTAATCAATCACACATTCCCTATATAATTTTTTATACGCGCAGCCGGTATCCCCAAACTCACTCACTTTAACCCTCCTGTTCCTGAACCTATTCCCCCGTCTGTAGCACTTCCCATAATGGGGATTCTTTATGGAGTGTATGGGCTGCATACACCACCACTGAGACTCTTGAAAAAGTCATGTCGTAGTCGAAGGAACCGTTAATGAATTCTCCCTATTTCCTGATGGTCCTACTGTAGAACCTCCAGAGGTGGCGGCATCCGCTGCAGAACCTCCAGAGGTGTCAGTGGTATCCACTTATGAACTCTCTACCCGTCCTGTCACGGCTATGGAGGCCGTCTGTGAACCCTCTGCCCATCCAGTCACGGCTATGGAGGCCGTCTGTGAACTCTTTGCATGTTCTGTTCCGGCCAAGGAGGCCGTCTGTGAACTCTCTGCCCGTCCTGTCACGGCTATGAAGAGAGCTCAACTGCTGAAAAATGTATTAAAATATGGAAGCTATGGAATATGAAAATTCTCCAATTCCATGTTTCCACATAGTAACATATGCTTATTCACATAGGTGCGCTTAATGAAAAATCATACTTTGCAGTTTTGTGAAACCCTGCACATAATAAGTAGATATTCATTATATTTTATGCTGAAAGCTTGTGCTTTGAGTGATATTAAATATGTTTTTTTTTTATAATTGTACAGAAATCTGACATCAATGGGCGATGAACAGCAGTTCTCCACGGCCTTCCACTCTTCCTTGAAAAGGACCTTACTGATTTTTACAAGACATGTTTTGTAAGTAATTTTGTCTGTTATATTCTGGTTATTTAGTGTAATGCAGACAATTATTGAGACCTGGCCAGAAAAAAAATCAGGACACAGAAACAATATAAGATAGAAAAGAATAAAGAAAGTGAAAAAAAAAAAAAAACTTCTAAGGAAAGGGAATGTATAATAAAAAACAGAGTTGGAAAGAAGAGAAAAAAATACTTAAAGGGTTAGTTCACTATAAAATTCTGTCATTAATTACTCACCCTCATGTCGTTCCAAACCTATAAGACCTTTGTTCATTTTCGGAACACAAATTAAGATATTTCTGATGAATCTTTAACCATGTCTATGAATAAAGCCTTGCATTTGGATCCGCACGTCTCATGTCTCGTCAGCCCCGTAACAGAGAGTGTTCAGTGCACAGGACGGACATTAGCCGAGCCGAGCGACAGAAAGATAGAGATGACGTATAAAAAACAAAAGAGGAAAACATCTGAGGAACAAAAGAAGGCTTAAGGCAATAAGGCAAGAAGTATGACCCGTGTAAATATCAGATCAGCTTTCCAGCGCTGGAGAGAACTCAAGGAGTGGAAGGCCTGCGATCTGACGCCGAGGTTGCTTTGTTTCTTCTCGATAGGTGAGTAACACTGTGTCTGCGCCGCAACAGCTAAAGTCTGTCTAGTACACTGGACACGACAAAGCGACTGTTGAAAATCATTTGAAATTC